GTGCGTGCGTGCGTGCGTACGTATGCAATTGTCCAGACCGATCCAGAACAGATATGAAAACGTCTGAACCACCATTCGAAAGCTCCCGGTCTGGGGATCTTGCAAAAATATGAAACCCTGCATACTCGACCAACTCATCAGCAGCTGCTCCGAAAACGGCCGAAAATTAATTGCGTTAGAAATGACGTCCGTGGGGATCGAACCTGCGCCGTCCATTTTCGGCGCGGGAGTCGATCGAGTCAATCGTTCTTGCGCGTATGACGCGAGCTCCGCCCCTCTCCGAGAAGGCCTAGTTATTATAGATGGGCGGAATTACGTTACGGCTCACTTTTACGGTTACGATTCGAGTCCCGTACCGTAAAATTACGGCGCCGTAACGGGTCTTACGGAGATGCAGTGGACAGTGGGGGCAAGACGGACGGAATTTGCGAAGGAGACGAGTGGCAAATGCGAAACCAAATATTACTCTCTCATCGGTTCGGTTAGATCCTAGCCACAAGAAATGAGTTTAACAACTATTTGAGCTATCGTGGAGTGCATTTCAGCGAATGTTTCCGCCACAATTCTCAAAAAGCAGCACCAACCGTAAATTCGTAAGACCTTTCCGTAACCGCAAACTACGTTACGTTACGCACACCGTAGAAAACGTTACGTTGCCCATCTATAGAAATTATAGAAAAACATGCGGCTGAAAGAGTGAGTGAGAATTCATATTTCGAGCGTCCAAGAAGTTCTTGGCAAGAACGTCTGCCAGGGGATTGAAGGGAATCGACCAACTCTGCTCACCAGGCTCGGCCTCCGCCGAACATACTAATTTGGTGCCAGCTTCATATAGCCCGTCAATGAGCGTGATAAATCGACGTACCTTATCAACAACGAACGATAGTTTTGGGATTTCTCACGCACAGTAAAACGTCCACGATAGTCATGAATAACCACATCTTGTCACTATCCCGCTCCATAAACTTACGGAATTTCCCCAAATTACTCCGATAAACGACTTTGGAAAGCTGCAAACAGTCCCCGAACCCACCTGATCTCGCTCATGGATTGTAAGAACGGGAATATCTTCAACGAAAATCGTATGATAATGCTTGCCTACAAAGGAATGCACGTGTAGCGCTCGCCCTGGTGATCTATTATTATAATATCTCACCAATAGCAAGGTAGTCTGCTGCTCCTAATGGTCTGTCACAAAGCTCTTTGAAAGTGAACCAGGCGAGGGCTGTATGGCGAGCGGCTCTACGGACGTCTAAATGACGCCCTTGGATCTCCAACCTGTACGGAAAGAATCTGATACTCCTCATGGAGGCTGGTCTTAAAATTGTTCAGAACAGATCTAGTTGCCAATGAGGCTGATTAATGGATATATCATTACTTTACCGTTATATTAACAGTGCGCGGCATACTTCAATGCGAAAAAATCGCGGAAAAATTCACCATCGTTCATTCTTATGGAATACAGTAACTCACTTCTGATGCGTATTGACTTCATTCTTGGCCATTTTATAAAACTTTGCCTCCAACAAACGCCTGTTGAAGTCTGTCAAAGGCGACAGATAAACACTCCGCTCATCGCCGCCATTCGCTGCTTGAGCCATTATATAACGATAATCGATATCCGAGTCCAGTTGAATCACCTAAATCTTGCAATCTTGTTCTCACTTGCGTTTCCTCAACGCTTCACTCACCTCTGTGAATCGCTTGAGCATTGGTATAAAGGGAAGGAACAGGCCTCTATTGAGACCATTTTTGTAAAGATCCTCGGGGGGTCGATTGGACGTCGCCACTACTACGCATCCTCTTTCGAACAGCTTGCTGAATAACCGTCGCATAATAACCGCATCCGAAATAAAAGTAACCTAAACATACGTACCAGGTCGGGAAAGAAGCGCAGGAGCTCGAGAAAATTCCCATAATCGATCAGCTGATCGATTTGAGTAATTCCAAATACTACATCACCTGAAACTCGTCGAAGCACAGCAGCCAGGCCTCCCTCATCATCTCGTCAGCAACTTGATCGATAAGATCGTTTTCATGTCCATTCACTTCACACTGAAGACTCCTTCGTTGCGCCTACGGAGGAAGATCAATAATGCTCAAATTAAGAAGGCCCTGGTTCGATCCCCACGAATGTCATTTTCAACGCTATCATTTTTAGGTAGTTTTCCGCGCAGTAACTGATGAGTTTTTATAGAGTGTACCAAGTATAAAGATTTCCATATTTTCTCAGCAATGTCCCCAGATAGGGAGATCATGAATGACCATCTACTAATCTTAATATCTATTCTCGTTAAGGCTCAACAATTGCACTAGCATGCATAGTGTCCATGCTCCACTCACGCTGGAGTTCAACAATATTTATAAACCGCCGTGGAAGTGATTCCGTCACCTCTTCCCCGACTACTTCTGCATCAGCTGCCGTCCACACTGTATCACACTTCGCCATCCTACTGGAGCTTCTCAACTGAAATTCGTGTAGCCTCGAGTGGACCTAAAACTCGCACCACTACCACAAAGGTTTGATAATATTTTACATCCCGATTGATCAATAAGTTGAAAATTCGGATGTCGCTGGATGTCACTTGTTGATCGAACCTCCCTCCATATGAGTTTAGACTGTATCGTGCTTGGCTTGTGGCGTGGCATAGGTCTCCGGTTCGAATCCCAGCCTTAGTATTTCCAATGCAAAACAAATGTTTCCCCTCATGTATTGTTATGGGCGCACCACATGGAGGGGATTCTCATATTTTTCCATTGAGTGAACCGCCTATCGGATTTGTGTTCGTCGTCGTGTTCAAACTCTTCGAGGTTGTTATAAGATTCCATTTAGTGGACGCGATATGAAGATTAAATTTTATATCATTTCGACCATCTGCTTCTTACCAAATATGATATAAACCCTTGCCGTTATTACTTGCATCATCCACTCATGAAAATGAACTCTCTTCTTGGCTTGAACACTCACGTGTTGGAAAAATAAATCCATCAGCATTGATTTCCCACTACCGCAGCCACCCCATAGGTACAATCTGACGAATGACAATCCTTCAAAACGCGGATTCGATTCATTTTCGCTCTTCAAACATTCGATTACAGAATTAATTTAGTAAACCCGAAATCTCCAAGCCTTCGTAAAAAAAATTCCGGAATTTTCCATTTTTCCCGGACAAAAATATTTTCCCAACATTACCCTTTACAGCCCACTGGTGGAGCCACAAAAGGAGAGACGGTCGTCGAGGACGCGCCGAAAAATCGGGTGAAAAAACCGCCGCCGTTTTTGGTTGTTTCGTTCAAACTATCAGTAGAAGGGCCACCTGAAGGGGAACGGCTAGGCGGCGGCTCAAAAAAGTATTCATTCCGCTGACACATTCCATAAGAACTATTACCACGCTTCAAGTGTGATGACGAACCCAGTATGATGAGACAGTGTTGAAATATATGATATATTTCAACACTGTCTTTAAGACAGTGCATCACATATTATATATGTTCACTTTCTTCAGCTGAGCTTAGAAAACTTCCTCACTAATCATAAAAGTCGTGATGCAAGTGTATACACGTCAATGAAAATCTCCCAAACTTTCCTCGAAATTTTCATATTTTCACCAACACGTAGTTGATCATTTGCATATTTTCCCCCGCATACTGGCATAAGACCTCCGCGAGGTAGTAGTCGCCAAGCATTGTATGCTAGCGCACTCGCCGCCTATCATTCAACTGTCTACATTTGTGTTTCTGGGTTGCTCGTCGTTAGACTACTAGTGTGAGCCATAGTTGTGTGACTGGTGCCTCTCTCCACTCAGTACACATCCATGTGCTGTTACTGTCGGTTTCTTTACGAGTATTAAGTACTCCTGTTGTCTCTCAGCGACCGATAGTCCTGATCATTCGCGCTCAAAGCGAATGAGTGTAATCTAGCTACTAGCATAATGTAGAGAGGAAAACCCCCAAAACCCTCCAAAGGTTGAAATTTACAAGTTCGTTTTCATAAAGGTGCGCTTCCACCCGTGAGAGAATGATAATAATATAGCAACGCCAGTGTTAAATGAACTCCTATATATCAATAGAATGTACACGCCCAGAATTGATAATAAGAGTTTTTAATGGTGAATTTTATCTGGAAATATTCAATCGATTCAGCACTTCGAAGCAGACGTACCCTTACCGTTTTGGTCAGAAGTCGCCACTGTTTCTTCAAGAGTAAGAGAGTTGTGACACGGAGAGTATCTCTCGAGCCTCTGCGCTAACTCGTCAAGTTTCACAACTATCATGTCTTGCTTCTCATCAGGACTTAATTCACCTGAGGTAAGGAGGAGGAAGATCATTTTAGACATCCTCTCATTGGGAAGCTACCTCGACCAACGAGTTGTCGGTAGTTGTCTAATACGCTGGTGGAGAAGGTCCGCGACTTGAGAGTTGCTGATGGAGTGGTATGAGATAGTGAACGTAGGCACACGGTTGATATCGGAGTTAGATGCTTACAGTAGCGGGGTAAAAGCATTGCAATGGCGAAAGGAAGGAAATTCTTACAAGATAGCAGGGCGAAGTAAATCTTGGATTCTTGCGTAATCTTGTATTTCCTCAACGGTGATATACTGCGTCGATAAAGTTAGAAACCTTTTCCTCTCTGCGATACACATTTGAACCATCAGAGTCTTTGGGGCTCATGTCGTTTTGAGGTTGGCGTGATTATGTCGCGAACTTTAGTACATCTCTGCCATCCTTCGGAACCCCTTCTAAACCCGTTCATTCTCCACTGCTCTCCCTAGACTCGGCACACTTATTGGAATGAATCTCTATGGAGACTCTTCATCGAAGCACTTTGCTGTACTCGGTAGACGAGATGTTCCTAATGGTCTTCATAGTGGCTCTTGGACCAAGGAGCATATGTCATGTGTTCCGACTCTAAAACATGAAATGCATTGGAAGATAGTCTCAGACATGATATGCAGAGCGGAGGAGGATATATGGTAGATCGTGATAATGAATAGGTCTCGTATACCATTGATACTGATGAGTGATACGCTCAGATGTAGCTGAATTGTAGGGCGGGGAAGCCTCGGCGGTTTCAAGCAGTGTGAATCTTATGGGAACACTACGAGGTGCCCATCTGCCTTCAGTAAACCGCAGCTAGTCGTAATGTTCATACGTACGTCGAGGCTCATGTCAACGATGATGCTCTTTATAGTCGTGCTACTCCCACTCGCTGCTCACACTACAGATCCAACTGGTACGAGATTAGCTTACTGCTCGTTGAGTCTTCCCCTTCCAGATGAGCCCCTATCCAAAGAAGGAGGAGGCCTCTTGGACGCTGTGACCATCTCATGTATCTTCGCTATAATCAGCGCCCTTTGCATCTCGGCAGGTATGTCCCTCTCGTATGAGCGAATTGCCATTACTCGCCGAGTCGATAAACTATGGGTGGATTAGTTAGACACACAAGGCTCGAAAGGGGTGATCTGTTATTATAGTAGAATCACATAGTGAAGTTCATCAAAGAGATATTATTCCAAATGCGACTCGGTTACCCTGTTCTGATGGTGTGGACAAATACTGCACACGCTCAACTGCGTATGTTGGTGACGATATGGAAATTCCGCGAAACTGTTTTTGTACACTTGTACGAATTTGTATGTAAGCCTCCATAATTAGTGAGGAAACTCAGCTGAGGAGATCGAGCACGAGCATCCGCTTACAGGTGTCGGTGGAGGTAGTGTCTTCGGCCCTTTGCTGAATGGTGGTATGTTTGGTCTGACCGCCCCCCTCGAGGCTCATCAGAGCGCCGCTCTTTCCATCACACTCGTCACATTCTCTGCTATTGCCGCTGCTATGGTCAACATCAGGTGTGGAAGCTGCATAATTTCGTGGCGCAGCGGTCTTCGGATGATCAGATCTGGCTCGGTCGACTACGGGGCTTGTTTGCTGATCGTCCCTGCTGCGAATGCTGGGACCGTCATTGGTGGAGCGGAGTTTTCAAAAGAAAATCAGAAAAAAATGTTTTTTGTCAGGTGTGACTATAAGTAAAGCGTGCCCTGATTGGTTCATCCTCCTGGTCACGGTGTTGTTCCTTTCCTGGGTGGCTTATTCTACATACGGGAAATTCATTAAGACAAGGTTAGAGATGCAGACAGCTAGGGTAGATCCAGGGACCTTTCGTAGGAGAAAAGAGAATCCTAACGAGCTCAGCAGGCCATTACTTACTGAGATTAACGATAGCAAAGTTGTTGCTGTCGAAGCGGAGGGAACCTCTTGGGTGATGGTTGGAGAATTATTATTAGCCTGGATGGCCGTATGGCTGATGACCCTCATCCTAGGAGGCCACAGGACCTCTTCTATCCTCGGTAGAATAATCCCATCGGCCCTGCAGGGGGATTCTCCCTCTCGTCAACGTATCAGGTCTACAGATGTGCTCTCCAGCCTACTGGGGTGTCTCGACTGCCACTGTAATCACTCTCATGACTATCTCGATGATGTAATAATCGAGCACATGATCGGTTCGACGACTTCCCCTTCTTTCTTCAGCCGAAGTCGTCAACTTTCCTTCATTGCTAGTGTGGCATCAACCCCCGAAACTCATCACCAGCCTAGGCATCATCGTTCCTCCACGTTGGCTTATTCCTTCCTAAGCTTCCTCGGTGGTATCATATGTGCTGTGATCGGCATCGGTGGGGGTATGATATATGTCCCTCTACTACTAAGACTTGGCAGGAAGCCAACTGTTGCTACCGCAACATCAGCAATTGCAGTGTTGATGACCAGTAGCATTGCTGCTGGCCAATTGGCCATGGAAGGTATCACCGCGAAACTACTTGCATTCATCTTCCGTCATGAGGAATGGTCAGGTCACATCGTCTCGGACCGGACTCTTCTCTACGGCCTTTCAGCATTCCTCGGTGCGCTAGTCGGTACACTTTATATCACAAAGGCCGTGGAGAAACATGGTATAGTCCAAGACGAAAATTCGGCGGAGCGGAGCTCTTGTTAGGTCGACAGTCGAGTTTGATTCTACTTTTATTGGTGATTGTTGTTACCAGCGTCGTGATGGCTGCTGTTGTAGGAGTCCGTAAAGTTCTGACTGGCCAAAAGCTACAGGGGTTTTCTGATCCATGCATTGGGATAGTACACGACATGCACTTCTGTTATTACATATGATTTGTGTTCAACCTCAGTAAGGGTGTAAAGCTCTCTTTCTTGATGTGATATCCTATGAAATAACACAACAATACCGATAAGAAACTATTATGATATTTTGAGAGCTCATCAGACTTGAATTTGTGTCGATGGCGTACCTGTAAGAAGACCCTATCGGCCTGCAATACAAAACGAATAGATGAATTGAGTAGGATCCGTGGGGAGTTAACTAGCTCACTAGTATCGTGGAAGTATAACACATGAATACTGCATACAATAGACGTTTTCCATGTCGACAGTGTCTACTGTGAATAATGTAACTGTAATACTGGTGAGCGTCGACTCGACACTCACCAGTATTACGTTAGTCTCGTATTACACGATCTCCATCGAAAACAGGAGAGCTCATCGATCCCTCACGATGATATCGTTGTCTACGACCAAGTTCACTGAGGCTGAGTGGTGACGTTGATCTGTTCGTCGATTGTTCGTGCGAAGTCTCTCCGGCTCCCATCTCCCCAAAGCCTATGGGCCATAGGCATGTTCCTCTTACGCGACGTCGAGCCAATAGCCGAGTCGAGTGCATCAGTAAGAGTGGACCATCCAGGGATGTACACTCCGGCAAACTTGCCATGTGTCAACAACATTGTAGGAGCTCGCGATCGATCGTAGTCATCAGCCTCGAATAGTCATTTTGACCCATTATGGATGCTATGTCTCGTCCATTCGAGGGGGGGGACTGCCAAACTTAACGGTAGTCTCCTGGAAGTGATAATCTACCAGCATTGGTTGCAGCCCAACAGATTTCCGCAAATAAGCTCGGCAATGCAATGAATATTGCTGTGTCCTTTCATTGTGGTGGGATCCGAGTTCACTACATAACTCTGCTCAAGGTTCGTCAACCTGTTTGCACATCGGATTTGAAATGTGCCGGTGCCGGCGCGCTAGGATTTCCCCTGACACACTCATCCTCGTTGTGATACACTTGCCACTTGCAAGTCTTGACCGGCCAAAAACTGCAGGGATTCTCAGATCCACGCTTTGAGATATTGCCTGTTATTATATATCATTTGTGTTCAACCTTAGTAAGGATGATGACGTCCTTTAGTCGCTGTGCTTTCCTATAGAATAACACAACAACACCGGATGGGAAATTATTGTGATATTTTGAAAGCTCACCAGACTTGAAAATGTGTCAGTGGCGTACCTGAAAGGAGAGAGTATCAGCCTGTAACACACCAGAAATAGATGAATAGGGTGAATCCATGGACGCAATCCAAAAGACATCGCGTTCGATCCAAAGTGGAGGCATCTTCCCACCAGAAAGGAGGTGAACTGCCTATCGTCCATTGAGATCTCCCTCCTGTTCTTAATCTCCAAGCGGGCTATTCGGGACTGAAGTAAGATTCGGAGTAACTCGACAGTCAATACACAGTCAGTATGGTCCCCTCACCCGTTTGCTTCCGACATTTCCAAGCCAGTAAACCATCTCGTCGACGATCTTAGCAGGTCCCTCGATGCATCCATCTACGGTGCCAGCAGGAGTATTCATACACCTGAAGAGCAATGCTGATGATGATGATGATGATGATGATGATGATGATTTTGTCGTCAGTTGTGGTACCATCCGTGGAGTCCAAGCCTCTCAGCCTCGAGAGCCGCATCTCGCCGGAAGAAGACCCCTTGAACTTTGCCGAAGACCTCAAATTCAACCCGACTGAAGGCACTGCGAACACGAGGGGAGGTGTTGCTCGAGGGAGTTGTGCTCATTCAAAAATACAAAGCCGCTCTTTTACCGAATACCACACCTTCATTTCAACTCAACGCAGACAACATTCGGAAACGTGGGTGAAATAATCGTATCATAGGCACAAGTGGAGGCACGAGGGGCAGTGGAATTTCAGGGCGCGCGGAATCATTCGGACTCGTCGAAATATTTCTCTTGGATATCCTGAAGTCGACAAAGAGGATACAAAACGGGCCCACATTTGTCACGTGAATAACTTCTACCCTCACGCGATGCAAACTCCGACCTACTGGTGGTGATGCAGGCCGCCATCTCGACTTACCATCTCGAGTTCCCTGCTCAGGAATGCGTCCAAATTGTCATCTTCATCGATCTCCGTATAATCTATAAACCGCCCATCTCGACCATCGAGGAAGCGAGCCTGAAGGGAACTCTTGTGAACGTTAGGAAATGATAAGATTGCAAGATGCATCTACTCATCTGCCCTACTGGAGGGACTCACCCTACCATCGACATCCAATTCCGACAATGAAAGACTTCGCTTCGCTAGGCGATAGGCAATAGAAGATAGTATACGAGTTGGTTGATACATTCCTCCCCGGTGCCCACCTGCATGGTCCTCCTCAAAGCCAATACCCTCTCCTCCCGACTGTCGGCAGCTTCTGCATCAAAGTCAGCGAGGTCCATCGCCTCTGTGATAAAGTCGTCGGCAAGGGGCTCAAGACGAGGGTTCATATGAGGGGTACTCCCATCGTGAAGATGAGCTTCCATTTGATCTGACATATTTAGTATCTTCCAATCTCGACCTTTGGATACGTTTCACTCAAACGACGACATCATTATCAATGCATCTACCAATTTTCAATACCGTTCGGTGACAATAAATTCTTGTCCAGAGCTGAGGCATTGTACACGTATGATTAAATAACAATTGTGAGTTACACCATTCAGCATCCCATCTAATGAGCTCTGTTTCCTCTCTATGTTAGATGGTCTACATCAGCTCTCAACAATTTTCAGACCGGACTTTATAAAACCCCTCCCCTCCTCCTCAAAGCCAGCTATCACTATCCTCCCCATCTCACCCACTATATAAGCCTTCCGTATCTTCCTTCTGCCCTCATCATCAGCCGTATTATATTCTTTATCATCAACAGCATCAACGAGCTTCGCTCCGCCTTTTTCCCCATCATATTTGCCAACCAGCGAGTGCCACAGTCCCGCGTCGCGACGTCTCATTCGTCCTTCAGAAAAGTAACCATCTACTTTTTCCTCTTCTCGATGCATCCACAAAACCCGACGATGACCGACGACTTTCGGGTTCTTATCCGCGACTATCGGGTGGCCATCGTCATCATAACATTTCGTGGCGCGTGACGCTGCATCCATGAAGGCCAATACCTACAATCGGACTACATGGATGGATATCTTAGCTTCCTCCATGCACCTCATAGTTGCCACTGAGCGCCAGACTGGAGAAGTAGTCGAGCACCTCCCCGAGAGGTGTTATGACGTTGAGGTATCTTTCAAAGAAGGCATGTGGGGAGGAGGTGAGGAGGGTCAGCAGGGATTCTTTGATAGCCTACAAGTATAACAACAACAACAATATTATACCTCGAATCATATGACTAATATTGAGACCATTCAGAGGCACATTTCATAGGAATGGAACAAATTATGGTAGTCATATTCAAAAAATGACCGGACCGGGATCGAACCCGAGCCGTTGCACGAATACATCAGTGCTCGACCTACTCGTCAAGAAGTGCTACGGATAGCCCTCAGAGGCAGTATGCGATTGAGTTTACTATATCTAAAACACCGAATATGATGGATGGTATTCCAATAACTCTGTTAATATTTCCGCTCCCATCGCTCCTATCCAACAACAATCCCCGCAAGCACCAACTCTCACTTTCTCGTCACTAAATTTGTTGCAATATTCCCCCGTATCTTTATTATAATAAATCCCACCGGGCAGGGGTATCTCCGCGAACCTGCAATCGATAACATACCCACGAAAAACGCCACGCGCCATGAAAATACCGCGGACTCGCCATCACAGTCTCCACGACTTTAGAGGCTTCCATCTTCCCCCCCGTTGGAGTTGTTCCGTCCAAGGCCTGCCGTAGCTGATGATGATGATTACAGCACGCAGATGCTCGACTAGGTCTCCTTCGTGTCGGGCACATGAGGTTGAATGGACGATATACGGATCATAACCCAAAGTCGATTCCTCTACAACACAAGGCCTGGATGAACAGAAAAGTACAGGGTCGATACGGCGAACTAACTAGGAAGGGAGAATATCTTCATACGTTCAAGCGAGGAAATACCACCTGAAGAGAAGAGAATCTGAGGTTGGGCCATGAAAGATACGTATGAGGTCGGAACTCTCCGAATCATTTCCACACCGCAGAAGCGAATGAGAATCCAATAAATGTCGAGGCCCCAACCGGACCTACTCCGTATCTTACCTGCATGAAGCCCAGATACCAGCCTCCATCACAATAGCCACTACCGCTGTGACTAGGGCCACCTCAACGCATACCTTCGGGCTTGGTTGAGCTAACCCCAATCTTTGGAGTACCGGGGAGGCTCCAGATGATCCGTCTACTCCTCCAGTACGAAGCAATGATATGTATACAAACACCATACTTGTGAGGAATCTGAAAAGGATCATCAACGACAATCTCGCAACCATCACTTATACTATGCATGCAGGAAAATGCAACAATCCAGCTGCTCAACGACATGATTGACTCAAGAGATCTAGCGTATACACACTGGACTTTATATTATCCAATACCGACCGAAAATCTTCCTCAATTTTTCTCCACGATTCTCGCATTTCCTCGATCCAATTTTCACCCAGGAAATCCACTCCTACGAAATTACGATGAAGTTTCCAATAGTTTCCATTTTCCGCCACCGGAAATCTTTCCTTCCCCGGAGCCTCTCCCCCTACTAACACTTACCCAAGCGCGCACGCCGAAGATTTGAGCCATCCAAAAGGTGCCATCCACAGTAGCGACATCGGCAACATAATAGCCACGCTATAGCCGTAAGCACTGGTTAGAAGGAGCCACAACGAGGCCTTTGGGCCACCCTGTTGGTGGTGGGCGGGAGGAACTGCGTAATTTCCTCCGTCACTCACCCCCGCATCATCGTCAATAACATAAGCATTGTGTTGAGCGATGTTGGGCCTCAACCACGACGGTAGGTTATCCCACCATCCCGACTCCTCTGCTGTCGGCTGGGGTCTGCTACTAATCCATAATAGGGCACCAAGAGTGATCAGAGGTCCTACGATCACTACACCGAATATGACCAGCCATGCTGTGCCTAAATACATAAAGAATATCCGACTAATTCAAGGGCGTACGGAACGTATATTGTCACTGTACGTCCTTACTTAGGGCGATCGAGAATACGACACGCGAACGAGAGAAGGATTTAATTCGGAAACCCGAAACCCGGGGGTTTGCCCAAAATATTCATTAACTGGACCAACTCGTATAGCGCTGTGCTAAAAACCACTCGAGAAATGACATCCGCGCGATTCGAACCTCCGTTGACGAAGTAATACGAACTCCCTCTCCTCGGAGAAGGCCTAGTATAAAGGTAGGAAAATTTCACTACGATTCCATTGTGCAGAACCCAAGACCACCTAAGAGGTATTTAATCACCCTTAGCAAATTAGATAGGTGTATCTTCACTCACGGTGGAGGTTTTTATCGAGATAGTGTGGTGGTATACACACAGTAGACACCGGATGATTTGGTGATAATCAAACTACGCTAAGAAAGTTCCATAACTGCATCCGTAGGACCCATGTTTCCATTAAAAAACGCAGCCACCGAGGATCGAACCCGAGCCCTACCAGCCATAGTGTAATCCGTTTCACCCTGCTTCTCTTCGCTCATCAAATGTTGGGAGAAGTTCGCAGTAGCGGTGAGAAAAATAACAGCAGTAGTGCAGATCCAGGAAGGCCCTGAAAAACGACACTACCGAGGATCGAACCCGGGATCTCTCCACTCGTTCCAAGAACTATCCGGTGCATCGCAAGACGCTTACACGAGTCGCGGCAGCACCAACCATGATGAGAAAATTAACGACAGAAGATACTCATCGATTCGTCCATAGAAGATTCAAAACAGGCTAACATCCGACCCCTCGCCCTACCCCACAGATCCGGGTTGCTTCTAAATGCCGACAACAGTTGAATCGAATCGGCGAAATGACGTCCGAAAAACTGGGCAATTCGCCCTTCCTGGGAGGGGGCAGCAGCACCCCCAGGGGAAGGCAGACGTAGGGAGGATGATGGGGCAAGGAGGGACATCCTGAACGGAAAGCATTTTCCGGAAAACCTTTCAGAATTTTTATCAACCTGTAGGGCCACATAGCGAGGAAAAGTCTGCCTCCGACGTCTTCGGAAGTCACCTGCACAATTTAAGAAAATAAAAAGAAATACCCTCGCCAGGTATCGAACCCGCGTCCTCATTACATCAAAGAAATTCTCCTGAATGTACGTTAGCGTGAGGCCACATGTCAACTTTGACCAGAGCCAGCCTCCGGATACTTCCGATGATGACGACGCTGCTGTTGCCGAGCTTCCCTGTGCTCCTCCACTACGATGGGGGGTCGAGTCGTCCAGTCGACCTTCCAAATTGAGGATCTTTGATCGATTGGCAGCATCGACCTCATTTCTATCTTCCGTGGTGTTACTAAAATCCACCATAGGCACATCATATTTCACAGGACCTGCGCAGAGAATATATCAGATTGGACCGCGTGCCACGAAATTATCTCTTCACCTCGAGAAGGTATCTCTTGCTGCTTGTCATCCTCAGCCCCTTCGAACCCCTCGTCCATCAGTGCTCCAGCGTCGATCGGAACGTATCTTGAAGACATGACAAATCGATCAAATGCTTGGGTCGGTCGAATATTCCTATGCGAGTGGGAGCATAGGGCAAGTGAAAGATAACGGGAAATTCGGAAAAAAACTGAAGAAATTTCGACGCGCCGGAGAATAACTTCCCACTATCAGTAGGAAAAGACAAAAAAAATAATCAACAGATTCAGAATTAGAGATGTAAACTCATATGCGATATGCCCATTTTCCCAGTCGATTCTAAAATTCAACGTAAGTACGATTCCGCATTGACACCAGCATGAATGAAGGTTGATAATATGCCGCCACCACCTCCTCCTCCTCTACTACTCTCCTTTATCCTTATTTTTCTTTTTCTTATCCCCTCGAGAGGTCGCCGGTTGTGTTGGACGCTCCCATTGGGTCTGCTCCGTGACCTCATTGAAGAAGTATTCCTCGCCATCGTCGGTAGTGTATCGAGTCCAACCAGAAGGAAGCGAATCGTTTGGCATGATGTATCCTAGGTTCAACAGCGTAAGATACAAACTAGGTCGATTTAAGGCCCATCATAACTCGACCACATTAGAGTAGCAGTAGAATTGTAACAAGGAACGTTCGAGGTAATTTACGTAAGGCTAGAAACAGCACCAACAATCGAAGGGACAATCCGGTGTATCTGATAGAAAAATAGCAAAATCACGGTGCCTTCGAAAGGAGCCTGTAATCGGAAGTATCTTCAATCGAGCAAGTGCGCACGATCAAATCAACTTCTGGCGTAATGTGTTAATATCCGCTACTCGCCGTTCGATCGTTGGAGAAAACTTATTAGGGAACCCCTAGGATGCGAGGATTAAGAAAGAGAA